TATATATATATATATATATATATATATATATACCATATACCGGATCTCCTGACTGATAGTGATACTCTGATCCTATTAGCCTTGCTGAATTTTTGGACTTGGAAAGCTTTCTTAGGCAATACATGGCACCTCATTATTTCAAGGGCTGGGTGTCACTCCCGTTTAAAACCCTAATTAGGATGGTGCGTGCCACCCCCTTTAAGCCTTATGGGAGGGGGGCATGCCACCTAGAGAGAGGAGAGAGAAATGAGCTAGAAAGATGAGCGAAAGCGAGTAGGGTGTGAAGGAGAGAGAAGACAGAGAGAGAGACTAAGGTAAAACTGTGTAGAATGAGGAGAGGTCCCCTACTTATATAACCTCAAGGGCCCTTACGAATGCCCATTCAATTGTGACTCACTATGACCAATAGGAATTTAAGAAATTTTTGAAGTGAGAAAAATAAATATGAGCCATACATCATATAAATCAGCAATTATGATTTTGGGAGGAATATTAGGAACCTTATTTCCTAAATCTTTGACCCATGGCCACTTCTAGTGAAACTAGGATAAGACCAATCTAAAAGAACCTTCTAGAACTTCTTTTTTCTCTTTTAAATTGTTGAAAGTCAAAAATAAAATATTTTGGTCAAAGATATTATCAATAACTAAACTCCCACAAATATGAACATAATATTTTTCAAGAAAGATTACACTTTTAATTTGTATTAAAAATAAAACTAAAACAAGAGAGGATGGGGCGTGCCACCCCACTGGGTGACATGTGGGCCCAATGGGTTCCACGCCCATGTGGTGTGGCACACATGTGGGGCTAGATCAAGGACCCCACGTGTGGCCCTCCACATTATCAGAATTTCAACAATGAATTACAATTGAAATTAATTTTAAATATTCTGAATTTTTTTTTAAATTTCATGAAAATATTTACAACACTGAAAATGAAATATCTAGGAGTGATGTGGTACCAATGGGTCAAGACTGTTAGGGCACTCCACTCAACCCAATGACCGTGATTCTCAATTATCTTCTCAAACTCACTCAACGATTCATTGATTTCCATAACCTACAATTTCATAAAGGGGCTCATGATTGACTCGTCAAAGTTGGCCAATAAATACTGGAATATGGATTGCAGTTCCTCCCCCTTAAAAGCAAGTCACATGCACATATCACTGAAGTGCAAAGGGGACTCTCTCTATGCACATGTATTCCTTTTCAGGGTTGCTTCTCGATAATGCGGCTGTCATGTATACATCTTATGTGGAAGTTTGTGAAGGATTTATCCCTCGCTTTTGCAGGCGTATATCCACATACAGGAAACTACATAGCTCTCGTGGCGTACAAACCATTCTTGGGCATCTCTTCGACCTTAATAAGGGATGACCCTCTATAAACCCTTTTCGGTATATTATATGCCGAGGGGTAAGGGTTTTAGACATACCAGGTTCATAGACCGCCTAACCTTTGGTCAGTCACCCAACATGCAATCTCATTGAAGTGTAGGATCCATAGTAAATGATTTGTTACTCACTCTCACGGTCTTTAAAGGCCATGAACCCCAACAGTTATATGCACATGGCTTGAACTGGAATCAGCGATAACACATTTGTGTTGCCTTTATTTGAAGAAGAAAGCTAGACAATGAAGGAAGAGTATTTGTCTTAAGTTCTATTTGTTAAGAAAACCATTCAGGATGTGTATAATTAAAATAAGAATGTTATTTGGTTCCTTTGACCAATCTATGATTCTCATTCTCTAAACATCATCATCATCATTTGATCCTTTTCACAATTATTTTGGGTTCGGTTACATGAATCCTATTCCGTCATTCTGCACATTAATTCAGGATTTACGAAATAGATGTGGCAAAATTTTTATGTTGCTTCTAACCTAACATAACCCTCCTCCTTTCTCCGGGTTTAGTATTCTTAGTTGGCTTTGTCGTGATTCACTTACTGAAATTCTTACTTGAACATGAAGTAGAAGTAAAATGTCACTACAATAAGAAAATGCAGTAAATTCTTAATGGCAACACTATTAGAAACATATATTTTCTTAGGAGAAGTTTCTTTATATTGTGTCTCCTATGATCATTAGAATTTCATAGAGCTGATCTTTTAGTGTTAAAAAGTGGTTATGTATTCTTTATGAACCTATTTGTGTTGTATTCCAAAATGCTCAGGTCAAAATGATTAATGTCTTTATCTTGTTTCCTAAATGAACCAAATCAATCTTTATTATCTTTTTGAGGCTAACCGCATCAAATATTATATGATAAAGAATCAATTTGTATTTCAAAATGCTCGGGTCAAAATGATTAATGTGTTTATCTTGTTTCCTATATGAACCAAATCAATATTTTTTTTTTGAGGCTAACTGTATCTAATATTATATGACCAAAATATTCTACAAGTAATTCCAAAGGAATGCTTAATTTTTTTTTTTTTGATGCTAAACTGTAAATTTTGGTGAGTTTTGAGGTGAGGCTTTACTTGTTCTCATTATGGTGGGAATGAAAACGACAACGTGGTGACTAGGGTGTGGGGTGCTACCACCACGACCCCAGCCCCTATCCCTGGTTTAATAATTTTATTATAATAAGAAATGAAGTAATATCTTTAAGGATTTAATCTATTGTTTTCCTTGGGCAATTTTGAAGACCATACAGATTCATAATTCATATTTTGCTTGTAGTTTCTATCACAAGACATTTAGGTGCTCATGTGTATCCATGTGTGTGCGTATGTTTTCTTGTGTGCCTGCATGCTTGTGCCTGTACACGTGATCTGCACATATATGCTATAGCCAAATACACCATATTGCATTTAAGCAGTGTTTTGAAACTTGCCCGAGTCGACTCGGACTTGGCAGCCTGGCAAGGCCGAGCGGCACAAGGTACCTAAGAGTACCTTTTATAATATACAATACTCAGGTGAGTACTGTATAGACCCGAACGAGAACTGTGACACTCGGGAATGACTTGCCCGAGCTTTGTACCATTCAAGAGGATCACTACAATTCTCGCCCAAGTACCTGTATACTTCTCAATTTAATAGGGAATGGATTTTTGCTTCCCCTCCCCCTATTCTTTTCCTTCATTTTCTTAGATTAAAGGCCTAGGTTGTGAATTTTGTGCCGAAATATAGTCGCCTGATCTATCTATAAGAAACATTAGATTTGAGAAAAACCACAAGGTTTGTCTCTTTTTCAGATTGAAAGTTTTAGCCAAGGGTTTGCCCAATTTTGAAAAAATAATGATTTATGTGCAATTTTTGGTCAATCTTTGATGAAATTTGATCCGTAAATCTATTTTTTGTGTTCTTCATTTAACCATAGGCTTATGTTTTGGAAAAAAAAACACGAAAAAAATTAGGATTTTCGATATTGAAAATTTGAATTTGCAATTCATCCATTTCTTTTCAAGAGCTCGGGTCTTCTAGATCTAAATGTGAATCCCAAAACTCGTTTGGGTTTTTGATTTTTTGAGGAAAACTTTTACAACGCCTGGAGGCATCAATTCATACCGAGCTCAAATTTTAGGGGATTGACCTAAAAAATTTAGTTGAATTTCATTTTTTAAATATAAATATATATTTGCATTTGTTTTTTCAATTTTCTTGTGCGGAAACTTTTTTCAGTTTTTCATCAAATTATCTGATAATTTATGCAAATAAAATCAATTTGTCATGATTTTGTATGTTTTACATACTTATCATGTTGTTCATCATTTTTTCTATATTTTCTGATTTTTAAACTTAGTTTTTTTTTTTGTGCAAATTTTGGATATTTTCCTCTTTTTCTTGGGCATGTTTTGGCCTTTACCATGGCTACATCATGACTAGGGCGAATTCGAGTCGACTTGCCCAAGTCATTCAGCTCTGGGAGGTCCCAAGTACCTTTCCTACAATGTTTGAAACATTGCATTTAGGGAGTTTCTAAAATTCACTTTTGAATGTAACATGGATTTTACCCAAATCTATAGTTGTGCATGTGTTGGTGTGCATCTTCATTCTTTATCTCTTATCCCTCTAACTTGAGAGGGAGGGAGGACGGAAGGAAGGGAGAAATGTTTTTTTCTACCCTCTGATAATTCCATATACACACAAAGTATATATGTACTGCATGGGAACACTGAGTTGCAGTTTTGTCTGGCCATGGTTTTAAAAAGATCAATCCCGATTTGTATATGGTCCTACTCCTGGCATGGAGCTGACATTCGATACTGGAAAGTAGTAGCAACACTCTGGAGGCTAGGATCCAGCTTCTAAGAAATATGGCAGTAAATGGGGTGAATGAGAGACGGACATTAAGACTCTGATTAGCAAGTTGCTCATACCCATCAATTTTGACTTTTTAAATTTGATCTCATGGTATAAGGTATGATTTCTTAAAATCATAGTTGTGGCCCAGATTGTCTAATTTGACATGACAGCAGAAGAGGGCAAAGTAGTCAATTAATATTGTTTTGATAGATTAACCAGATGTTGGCATTCCTATTTTGACTCCTGGATGTGCTCTAGGTTTTTGTACTACGCCTGGTTCCTAGGTTCTCTAAGCGGGCCTTTTGCAACATCTCCCCATTATTCAAATTTGGTTATATCCTTTTCTTTAGAAACAGTGAAGATGTTATATGATTGATAATGTTGTTTGGTTTTTAAGTTTTTGCAGCTTAGAGTTCTGCTTTTCTTTTTTACTCGTGCCTTATGTTTTATTTGTTTGTAGGAAGGATCCTGGTTACATCACTTCAAATGCTCATGATTCTCAAAACCCTAAAGATGTTGATGTAAGTTCTATGATATAAGAACTTGCAGTTTTCCTTTTTTTCCTTTTTATTGGTTTATGTTGGAATTTTTTGGCTTTATACACTTGCATTGATTCATGGATTTTTGGTCTTTGGTCTCTGTTGTAAACTTATTGGATGCCATGATGTTGGAATTTTGAAATGACCATAATGAAAGAAGATACATTAAATTTCTATATTAAATGTAGTAAATGGAGTAAGTGCTTATGCTAAATTTCTTTCTCCAGAAGCTCAATCTAAAACAGCCTTTGTGCTGTTAATGTTTCTTTTTATCAATTGACGCACAAGAAATTGCTTGAAAAGAATAGTTTATCTGGTTTTTATACTATTTGTGAAGTGGGACTGTAGAAATTGCTCCCAAAGTATATTGGTTTCAACTTCCTCTGAATCTGTTGATTTAGTGGTGTTTATTGAATCCTCTTCGATTGTGTATTGTCATATAGCTTAGAAAGCTTCTACCATCCGAGTGTATGAGGACAAAGATGTTTCCCATGCTTGAGTTTCTAGATATCTTAAATCAGCTGTGTGTTTGTGTGTTATTAATGCTAAGGAACGAGCTGTGGACATGTATTTCCTTTGCTATCTAAGGGCCTGTTTGGTTGCCACAGAAGTTGTGGATAGCGCAGCTATATAAATGGGGGCCGACTCCTTTGGATCTGTGTTGGCATGTTTTTCTACAATATATCACCCAAACTTGTACAATAAATCCAACATATTTGAGATGAATAGAACTTTAATAACTTGTTTTCTTCCATCCCTAAGACAATGGTTTGGTGTGGCAACTTACTTGCTGCATCCGAACTGGCCCTGGATCAATGCCCTTTAATGACTTCAAAACTGCTATAATTTAGGCATATGATTGAATTTGAAATATTGACCAATCTGGCTTAGTGACTCTCCAACACATGGACTTTCAGGCACATTGTAAATGTAAAAGTGGTATACATGCATGTATAAGTTTTGTATAGGAAAGATTCTGTAAAGATATTACAGAAAATACAAAATCGAAAGGTAGCAAGAATATTGAATGCTTTTGTAAGCATCGCGTACTACTCCCCTAATCATACCATTTATGTCAGTTGTAATTTCTAATGTGTGTACATTTTACAAACCTACGACTTAAAACAGCACTAATATGATTGGAAGATTTATAAGACATTGTGTCATGAAAGATACGATAGTTTACCTTAATGCTTCAGATCCTTGGGAGAGAAGTATTTAATCAAGGATAGAAGAGCTCAAAATTGACTCAAATATTATATATGGTAGCTCTCATGTGGTTTCTTTTTGATGATTTAAGTTGTTAGATAAACTTTCTTGAAAGAAAGGTTCCCATGAACTTGTCTATTAATATGACTAAATCTGCATGAGGTTCTAGTACCTGATTTGTTTTAAAATATAATAAATAACGGGGTACTTCTATTGCTTGTGGGCTCCTTAAAATATAACTATGGAAGGGTCTGAGGACAATTTTGGTTGTCAACTCTTTCCCATATAATCTAAAGGTTGAGGACATAGAGCATGGATTTAGATTGTCTAAGCACGCTAACTTCCCAAAACGAACTCATATATGCTGTCATAAGTTTCCCCAGAATAACCAACATGAAGTTCTAGATGTAGCAGAGCATTGGATATTCATAAGTATGGTAGACTAATCTTTTTAATGCTATCTTTCCAACACATACAAATTATTATTATTATTTTTTTTTGCAGGAACAACCCTTGTTGAAAACTGAGCTGAGTAATCCTGCTTTACTTGCTGGAAATTGGTCACAACTTTGTTCAACCTGCAAGGTGCTCTATTTTCTTTTGTTTCTTTTTTCGACTTGTAGCTCATTCTCCTTAATTTGGATTTCCAATATACATTACCAAGTTTTAGACTCAACCTGTTTCCATCGCAGATAGTCAGGCCTCTACGCTCAAAACACTGCTCTACATGCAATCGCTGTGTCGAACAATTTGATCATCATTGCCCTTGGGTTTCAAATTGTATAGGCAAGGTACACAAATATGATGAGTTTCCTTTTTCATGTTTGCTATATTTATCTTGCTTTTCTGAAATGGATATCATTTTCACTTCTCTCATGGCATCTGTTATTTGTGTGATTTACTGCATTGTTCTGTAAACAGAAAAACAAATGGGATTTCTTTATGTTCCTGATCCTTGAAACTTCTGCAATGGTGATAACTGGTGCTGTGACTTTAATAAGTATGTGTTTACCAGCAGTACTTATCCTCTTTATTTTACTTCTCGTAGAATTCATATTCTTTCATGTAATATGTCCTGAGTGGATACACTATTCATAGGGATCTTGACGGATACTGCTGCTCCTCATTCTTTCGGAGCATGGATGAACTATGCTGCCACTCATCATTCTGGGGCATTATCATTTTTGATAATGGATATCCTCCTTTTCTTTGGTGTTGCGGGCTTAACTTTCGCGCAAGGTTCCCAGGTAAATTTGTAAAAGCATGCATGTTTTAATGCACCGAGATTTAAGGAAGATGAAAAGAAGAAGATAGCATACAAATATTAGCTGAGAAGGCTTTGTTTTGTTATTGCATGTTCTTTAGCCTTGATGGTAATTAAGCATCATCTCTTGCTTGAGGTCTTCATCCCATCTCTTTTTTCCATGTTCTAGTCATAGAATTTGTTTTAAGCCTCTGTCATCTAGCTCCTTCCTGCTAAACGTTGTTTTCATTGTCAAACTCTTGGATGAAGGTTGTTACTTTTATAAGCATGTGCCAATTCATTAAACACATGCATTTGTTTTGCAGCCAATCATTTCTGACTTTCTTCATTTTCTCTTTCTAGATTGCTCACAACATCACCACCAATGAGATGGCCAATGCCATGAGGTATAGCTACCTGAGAGGGCCAGGCGGTCGGTTCAGGAACCCCTATGACCATGGTGTGCACCAGAACTGCTCAGATTTCCTCATAAATGGGTTCAATGAAGACAGAGAATACATTGAAAGGCTGGCTTCTTCTTCAGAGGTTGGGGGAATTCAAATGGGTAGTCTTGGCATTTCAAGAAATATTGAAAATGAGTCTCATGATCAGAGAGGAGGCCATGTTTCTGAGGATTTGGAGTTAAGAAGGGAAAGATCACATGGCTATGTGAATGGGCATGAACATGCACCCGGTCGTGGCCATGCACACACATCACAGTGCAGCCATAACCATGGAAAGGTCGAGGCTGTCCCTCTAGGGTTGGGGTTAGGGCTTGGCCGGGGTAATTCAGGTCAGCGTAATGGCCATACATTTGTACCCTTGTGATACAGGGGATATATGATTGTAAGGTCTTGTAACATTGTTAGTTTGTTTTGGATTGATTGGTATAGTCGCTTATTCTTCCATCATTCCATTAGTTTTTGCATTTGTGATGCTCTGAGAATGCATTTAATGGTACGGAGAAAAGAATTACTGCTTTGCCTCCATGTTTGAGTGTTACTCGGTGCTAAGTTAATGATATAGAAAAAAGAATTATTGTTTTGCCTCCATGTCTGTGTGGAGTACTCGGATTTACTGTTCGTCTTTTTGTGAAAATGAGAATTTTAGGTTTGTAATTGAAACGGTACTCTTTTGTTTTTTTTGTCAGTAAGAGAATGTTCTCATATTTTTTTGGGCCACTGAAGTGGAGCAATTAGCATCTCCAGCCTTCTAGATAAGCATTTTAGTGCACTGGACCCAAGTTTATGTACATTATTCTTGTCTTGGCTCTATGGTCTTTAAATTTGTCATGTGGTAGTCCAAATATGTTCTTTTTTTTAATATTTTCCTGTTAAAAAAGGAAATTGTTTAAGGTTAGTGGCATGGGGTTTGATTTCAAAATACTTTATTCGTTGATTTGAGGGCCACAATATCTATGGTAGGGGAGATATCATATGAGGACACGGTTTCTATGAGTCCATGTTGAAATGAGTCACCTCTTAAAATTCTATTTTTGGGATGGATTTTTAAACCTAATTTTTAAGGAAATATAATCTCTAACATGGAGATCATGAATAAATAAATAAGTTTTAAAAATTAAAAAAAAATTCTATTAAAAAAATATTTGGACAGTTAGTTTCAATTGTTTTTAGATGAACTGTCTATTTGCATCCATCTCAAAAATGAATGCTTTATACTTAAGGGACCGTAAATGTAGAAATGCGATCCTTACCACATGAAACAATTTTCCATGATATAAGTAGTTAACCACCTAAAAGAATATTAAGGTTGTCAAATCAACTAATTGCAGATTATTTTGGAAAGATCATTTCATTCAAGTAGACTTCTAAGTATTTTATTGAAGAATGCTGAAATGCCTATATTTAGGATTTGGAATATTGAAGGATTAAGGTCACTACAGTGATTTGGCTCATAACACAAGTGATAGTTATCAAAAGGGAAAAGTTTATATAGAGCCGAGGCTCTAAACAATTAAATTAGAGCCTCGCTCAAAACTTTTACTAGAAGAGGTTGTTTTGATGCCCAAATATCCCCAAATTGATGATCTCGACATCAAAATGTATAGATATGGAAAAAAAAAAAGATTTCAAATTTTGAAAATAGGGTATTTTGTAATGCATTTTTTGACCGTCAATTTTAAAGATTTTCAAGTTTTCATATATATGTCGATCTACACTATATTTGAAGTTTTAAACTTTGAAATAAAGATGAACACATATTTTAAGGCTATAACAAAGATTTCCAATATTTAAACTGCATTTCTCAACACTATTTGAAGGTAGGCTCTAATTTGATTGTTTAGAGCCTAGAAATTTTAATGAGAAAATTAGAGACATTTGAAGTTTTGACAAATTTTCTCCCTGTTCCTTAGCTGTTGATTAATTCTCTTTCCATAGTTTTAAAATGCATTTAGTCCAAGGTTGAGGTTCCGTGATATCCAAATTGTAAACATTGTTATGTAGTTGGAGTTGATTTGGTCTAGCAGTGTGATATTTTTCTTGGTAGAAGTAGAAAGAACCTTATTGTGATAAAATCGAGATTATATTCTTAGATTCAAATGTTATAATTGCTGAATCATGTAGCTTGATCCCATATATATTAGCAATCGTAATAAATTCATTTGGACAGAGGGTTACTAAGTACGGGATTTTTTTTGGCATGCTCATCCATGGCAGTAAGAGGCACTGATGTTCTTTGGAATAGTCATGCTCCAGTTCTAGTAAACAATCATCATTTTGTCTCATTCATTATCATCATCAAAACTTTTTTTTAACTATTTGGGGTCGGCTATTCGAATCCTTTTTTCAACTAGTTGGGGTTGGTCTGGTACATTTCTAAATGAGGCCCATCATTTTGTCTCATTGATAAATGCAGACATTTTTTTTGTTTGCATGACAATTTGCTTGCTGAAAAGCAAGTCGGACTGCAATGAGTCGCACCAAATTTATGGAGTAAAAATTGGGACTAACAATGTTGTTTTACTACGAAATAACATTGAGAAAATGTAACTCTAGAATCTCCTAAAAAATAGCAAATTCTTTGAACTCTGCTGTAACTTTCTAAGAAAGAGGGAAATTTTCAAGCCGACTGGAATTTGTAGAAATTTAGAGTTCTAGGAATGTTCTTCAAGTTTGTTAATTTAATGTGGCTACATCTTTTCTTTGGGGTGAAGTTTTATTATTTATAATCATGCTTACTTTTGTAACATCATCATGATAGAAATCTCTAAAATTTCTCACATGAAAATTGACGAAAAATATCTGAAAACTAAAATTTTAATATATCATGTAGAAGGCGAGATGGTTAAAATCTCTTAAATTTAAATTTCAGGCAGGAATTTAAATTATTTAAGTAGGTTCTCATTTGGGTAAACCTTCAGCATGGCCAAACTGCAATGCATATATTAACTAGTGTTACTAGAACTGGACCGGTGCTCGAACTAGCGAAGGGGCAAGTCTAGTCAAAACCAGTCTAATAGATAGTAAAATTTGTTGGACAATTTTTTTTTTTTTAAAGAAAATGGTTTGATAGGGGTGTACCCAAATTAAGTAAAGCTTCACCTTATAACTCATCCAAAATTACAATTCAAGTATTAGAAAACCTTTACATGGATCATCTCGACTTGGACATTATGTTTGTGAAAACAAAATAGGATTTTAAGCTCTAAAAATAGTGTATATTGTAACAAATAATCTAGACCGTTTATTTTTCCATAAAAATAAGTATTCACGGATCCACAAATCTATACCCTTATTGTAGTTTCAAATTTTATTTTTGGTGTTGAAAATTGATTTTAGAGCCATCATGGAGCTTTCTTTTGCCGAATGTGCTTTCCTGTTGAGGATTTGAGGTGAGACTTTATTTTGTTTTCGTCATCCTTTTTTCAATATATGAAATTAATTTTTTTCTAAAATTTCAGAAAATCAATAAAAGTCACTCATCATTCCCATGCTACATCACCTAGAGATATTAATCACATTGAATAACTTGAGAATATATTGGACCAATTGAGATATACAGAGAGAGATTGAAATTAAATTTTTTTTTCTAAAATTTTAGAAAATCAATAAAAGTCACTCATCATTCCCATGTTACATCACCTGGAGATATTAATCGCATTGAATAACTTGAGAATATATTGGACCAATTGAGATATACACAGAGAAAGAGAGAGAGAGAGGCTCCCGGTGCATCTAAAGATCATCGAATTAAGAAATTAAACCAAATATTAAAAGTACCAAAAGAACTAAAAATAAAAAATGCAATAACACATAAATAAAACAATAAGATCTATGGTATAAGAAAAGAGAAATAATCACAACTATACCTTAATTTTAGCTTAATTGGAAATAAAACCCCAATTTTTATAACCCTCGTTTACACCCTTTTTTCTCATTTTTGGTTTTTTTTTTTTTACCAAAATAACTTTCACGGTAGTCGATTTACCATAATACATATTTCATTTTATACGATAATTCAAATACCGTAATAATTGAAGTAATATTACAGTACTTTAAGTACCGTAAAACTTAACGTTATTTTTATGGCATTTTTTTTTACTGTAAGAAGTTGAATGTTTATTACGGCACTCGAAATGCCGTGATACTATCGCACCCTATATACCCTAACCCGAAGTCATTTTTGCCTTTACAGTTTTGATTCTACCATGGAAGGGTTCTTAACCTTTACGGTTCTCAACGTCAAGATTTATTTCGCTCAATCTCTCATGGATCTCTCTCGCTCATTTCCGTCACTTTATCAGATCTTTGAGGTAAGAAATCTTTCCCCAAATTTATAAATGAGGTTGTATCTTTATTTTTTTATTCCACATTTCGAGCCTACCGTATGATGATCGATTGTATTGTTTCTATATTCTAATCTTATTTTCTTTGAACTTGCTCAGCATTGTGTTTTTTTTTATATTTTATTCTAATTTTCTCAAGTTCATTTTTCATGTATGCAATGGTTGGAGATTTATATCTTCATCGTTTGAGACAACCAAATTCAGGATATGTACTCACACCTAGGGCTTAAGCTCTTTTGTGCATTTTGTGTAGTAATGACTGTGATTAAACCTACTTGACTCAATTATACCAAATGAGTCCAATCAGCTATTCGCAAAAAGTATGATTAAACCTACTTGATTCACACATAAAATCTTTTTTATATGTTAATAAGTAGAATATTCCAACTTTTGGACCAATGATATTCAGTAGAATAATTAACTCATCCAATTCATAAATTGAATAAAATGAGTGATATGACAATTTAAATATGAGTCCCAATTTGAATGCGGATCATGATATAGTAACAACTTCAATAAGTTCTACATTTTCAAATCATGTTGATTAAAGATGTTGCATATCAATATAGTTCGTCTAAATTGGACCCAATGAAAATTTAAATGTTAAACAATATTTTGGCTAAAATTTGATAAGGTGTGCAAGCATGCAAAATTGTTGTCTATCATTGGTCAGGTGTTTGATAGACTAATAGTTCTTTTTATATTGTTTTTTTACTTTGAATGTCCTTAGTCAGGTGTCTGATACGTTGTTTATGATGGCTGTTTGAACGTGGATCATGGCAGAAGATGCACCCTACCCTGGAGGTATTAAGATTCCTATATTGCTTAATAGACAGAAATAACATATATCACATAAGATATGGGAAGGAGATGTATGTACAACTGTTTAAAATTATACTATTTGTCCATCATGTTGGTTAATCAATTTATTTATTTTAATTTTTGAAATCACAAATTCTATTTCAGGATCAGAAAAATCCCCTCAGGGTTGATGAGAAACCCAATGAAGCTTCTTTATGGCCTTTAACAAACAATGGTCAGATCGATTTGGTCCGGAGATTAGGATTATATCCTTTGACCATAATACCGATGACTCACCACGACCGTGGCACATTGTCTACTATTATCGAGAAGTGGTGCGTAGAGACGAACACCAGGCACTTCAATATAGATGTCGGAGAGATGATGCCTACTCTTGAAGATGCATAGAAAATTCTTCGATTAAAGGTGACTGGTGTAGCTG